CAGGGCATAACTCAAAGCAATATAAGGGACCGTCGAAGAAGCCGCGACGGAGAGTAATACACCGGAGACTCTGCCCGTGACCGTTCCCGTAAGCCGTGTCGCGAAGTTCTACATTATAACAAAGCGCGTGCGAGATATAATAATTGTGAAAGGCAACTACAAGTGTAAGTTAGTGAGTGTAACAGGAGCGCTGAAATAAAGCTCCAATATAAAGTAAAACGAAGTGAAGTTTATTTAACGACGCCTACACCTTGTTCCACCTGCGAACCCGACCGTTTCCTAGTCTGCCCGCCTGTGCCTACCGAGTCCCAACTCGTAAGGTCAAGAGATCCCGAAAATAATAAACGTTTTGCCGTAAGCCGTCACCAATCGGCAACGCGGCATAACATTTGCAAAACAAGTATAAATTGTAGAAAAAGTAATAAAATAAATAACATGTTATAAAAAAGATTAAAAGTGCACCACATACATAAAAAAATAGTTTTTTTTTCTAAATAAGATAAAAATTTTTTGTAAAATGTATTCAACATAATTATACATTGTAAAAATTGGAATAAAATATCCATCAGTGGCTTTTGACAACCAGTGACTCCTCTGCGTATATTTCACGCCCGGTAGATGCGGCCTGTATTTTTACGTACGGCACGCGACCGTTACGAATCCGCGTAAACAAATGAATGCGCGTATCGTGTCGCGAGCGGGCCGGACAGCACGCTACTAAACGATCTCTCTCTCGTGACAGATCTCGCTTCTCGTGCACGTCGTGACGTGCAGATTGTGTCGTGTGACAGAAAGTCAAAGAAATATATTCTACGATCCTATTGTCATTCGTAAGTATTGCTCATGTCATTTATGAAATATTAATTTTGTATTATCCCTAGCGGAAAAAATTTCTATAAATAACTACAAAATTGAACTAGAAATAGAAATTTGTACATTTTTGTTGAAATATTTAATTTTTTGTAGAAATAGTTATTTTTTTGTAGAAATATCTACGAAATAGTACCACAAATTACAATGCTCTCAAATCAAGAAATTATTGCAAGTAGTATTTTATGAAAAACTACAATTTTATAAAAAATAGTACAAAGATCTACAAATTTTAAAAATTTAAGAAGAAACAAAATTTTAAAAAATTAAAACATCTGCTTACTTGTAGAATACTACAATTATTTATAAATGACTAAGAAATCTACTACAATTTACGTATCGTAAAACTATGCAACTTAGAATCTAATTCAGTTTTTAGTTTCTCATAAAATAGTACAACTGCGTACAAATACTAACAAATACCGATTTGTTTGTACAGCTCAAAAATTTATTACAATTATGTCTAATTAAAATTTGTAATTTTTAGTTAAATGTTACAAGTTTTTACACAAATCTTCCAAAATTCACCTATTATTAATAACTTCTTAATTCGCAGAAGTCAAAATACTTATCTTTTTATTTTCGTATAGTCTGTTGTAAAGTCCAATAGAAAATTACATAAATGTACAATTTTTTACCTATATAAATTTCTGATTCGTGAATGATTGTAATTTTGCATACAATACTACAAGATTCTACAAAAAACGACACAATCCTTAAACCTTTTACAACTCGTGAATTCATGAAAATCTACATAAATTTGCTTTTTTTAGATCTTTATAAGATACTACAATTTTACATAGAAATTAACAGACCTTCAACCAAACCTTCAACCTTTCCATGGAAAGTAAAAATTAATATGTCAATTTAAAAAATTAAGTATGTTTGGTACTCGCGTGTAAATAGTTACTTGTAAATAGTTGTTAGTTGCGTCATTGTATTGTATTCGCGTTAGATTAGTTGCTTAGCATCTTTGTATATATTTGTCTCGTTTACGGTCGGTAACGAGGCTCACTTCGTATTAGCGACTCGCGCGCGACGTTGGCGGATCGCGATCCATTCGATAGTCAATGTTCGCGCGACTCACCCGACTCGTGCTGCCCGCACGCGGGCGGCCACCCCAAGCACGAAGTAGAGGAGCTTCTTCCCGGTGTCTTCGCGAGGCGCAAGCACCGGCACAGTTGTATTTCGTACGCGAGAGAAGACAGTAAAATTTGGGGCCGTACTCGACGCCTCACGTCTCGGACCGTCGTCGTCTCTCGCTTTTCGAGAAGAATTACATCGTATCGATAGAATCTTGCCACGTAGTGATTTTGTGGACGGTATTCCGCGCCCGGGTGCACCCCGCGAAACGGCGCCGTGTGATTCGAATCGTGTGCATTAACGCTTGCTTGCTTGTCTTCCGCCTGCACGCACGATCACGCGATCCGCATGCGTCTTGCACGACCATCCTGCCTGGGCTGACTCTCCGCCACCACGAGAACCAGGAGGAAGGACGGAGGCTGTGCGAGGACATCACGGGCTACGATACGGTGAGTCGCTTCGCACCCCCCTTTTTTTGGCATTTCTAATCGCTTTCGTGAGGGCACGGGCCCTCTGGTCCTTCAACCGAGTTTGACCAATCGCGAATCCGGGGCGGATAAACACCCCCCCGAGCAAAGTATCTTATGCAAAATTAGAAAAAAAAAAAAAACTTAAAATAACATGTAAGCAATGAGAAGTGCCGTTTTCGGTCGAAGCGGATCTTGATGCTTAATAATATTTCACAATATCAATTATTATTAAATACATGTTTTAGTTTTTTAAATTGGCACTGCGTGCCAATATGGACTTTGTTGGACTTAAAACGCAATTGTGTAAACTGAAACTAAAAATAATATATGTTCGGGCGCGCACTAAACGCGCCGAACGAATCGCCGAATCCGTTCCGCGAGAACGCGAGATAATTGCGAGTGGCTTTGTTCAGCCCTTTAACTATGAGACGACCGGGGTTTCAGTTGAACGCGGACTCGATCGCTTGTTAGGAAGTTGAGTGGAAGGCCCAAAAGACAGCAATTGATTTATAATACATATAAACTTTATTCGAGATAATAAAACAAAACTGACGAAACGCGAGATGTACAAAAGATTAGTGCGAATGCACTCGGCGCGCTGTGACTTGTAGTATGCGTAGGTTTGGAGTGTGATTTACATAAAGTGCGTACAGAAAAGCGGTAGAAACGATAGACGGTATCGCGAATGCAATTGTCGCGGTGTGACGGAGTTGCGAAACGCGGTCTTACGTCCGATGCCTACAGAGACGCGATAGGTAGATATAGCAAGAAACGAAGCACCGGGGCCACGACAGCGAGAGGGCTCGCAACGAAGCCGAGCGTGCTCGACTCCGAGGAATTGTGATCGTTGGTTTGGTAGGCTGGAGTTCGGGGACACCTGAGAGCACTCAGTCGAGACTCGGAGCACCGGACCTCGTTTTATGTGTCGCCCTAGGAAGTTGGATAAGGTAGGCTTCGTCGAAGGCAGCAGAGAGTCGGAGATAAGACGAAGTGCCGGCTCCTGTCGGAGCGCCGGCTTATATACCGCGGCGCGGCGGGTTCGTTGGAAGGGAGGCCGGCGGTCGGGCGAGCTGCGTGGGGATACTGACGCGCTCGCCTTCGGCGCGGCTCGGCTTCTTCCGGCGGTTCCGAACTTATCGAGCATTTCGCGTGAGAAGCAAACGAAACGTATATCGCAGTACATATAACGGTTAGATATACGTTTTTACGACGATCGATTGCGGGAATCCCGAACAATATATTTTATATTAATTTGATATTGTCAAGTAAAATAATATACTATTAGAAGAATATTTTTATAACAATTATACAAATTTATATGGATAGATCCATTATAGAGTATATATTCATCTATGATTATCTTTAACCTTATAAATATACTTTTACATGATCACACATGATAATATACTAATAGTATATAAAACCATATATGACTATATAAAGTTATACTTAAAGAGATTTAGCCATATAATATATTGTTCAAGATTATATTTCCATTTCTTATATGACCATATATAATTATATATTTAGGGCGGCGGTGTGGTCTAGTGGTAGAGCGCCAGACTCGTAATCTGAGGAACCAGGTTTGAGTCCACTAGAGCCATGAATCATGGAAAAGTTTTTTTCCGAAAAAACCGCGCCCCTCCGTGCAGATGCGGAGAAAACTGGGCTCCGTCTTTCGGAAGAGACGTTAAACCGTTGGTCCAAAGTAGGAAACAGTAAGGTAGTGAGATGAATTGGAGGTTAGGGTTGGGTACGTCCCTTCAAAACGCCCTTTAAGGCCTCTTGGGGTATATAAAGTAAAATTCTTTATCCTTTTTATAATTATATATTTACTAATATGAACAAATAAGAGGTATTTTTTCCCGAGTATATAATCATGGCATCCCACACAGCACATAATATTGCAGAAATATTGCAGTAATATTGCAATATAGTGGAAATATTACGTATTACAATGAAATATTTCAGAAATATTACTGATGTATTACACGTTTTTAAATAATATTGAAATATTACAGTAATATTGCTGCAATATATTGTTGAAATATAATACTTTAAGTAGCAAAATAATGTCAACATCTTATTGACGTCATTAAGACGTTATTAAGGTATCACACAATCATACGTATTGCACAGATAATATATACCAGTTAAAGAATTTTGGACTGAAAGAAAGAAAAATCTAAATAAAAAAATGTGATGAAATCAAAAGAGACTGACTTGTACTTTTGGGGAATAAAAATGATTAAGATAAATTTTATAAGTGGTGGTATTTAATTTTATAACTTGTTATTTGTTTTGTAATAATAAAAGGTAATTATATATACAATTAATTTTTAATTAAGAGCCAGTAAGTAAATTGATAATAAAATAAATGGATAAAATTTAAAATTTATATTTCTTATATAATCAATATTAAACTTTTCAAATTACGAGTTTGTCACACGGATAAACAGAACGTTTCTGAGTGCGTAAGTGGAGGGAAAAACGCTAGTGTGTGGCTATGCGCTTGGTCGCAGCACCGACCCCCACCATTCCCGGTCTTCTCTCGCTGTCTCTTGCATGGCTCTGTGAGACCACGACACCGCACAGAAACAATCGTTTTAATTTCAGGTAATTTTTCTTTATTTAATAAATATTGTTCACACAAATATTTTTAAAAGTATTTTTGTATAATTATTACTAATATGTACATTGTACATATATATTTGGCGATTTGTTTTTAAATCCAAAAATAGAGATTACGTGGCATAATGGTCTGCAAAAACCACGTTAATATCATAAAAATCATTTCAATGACCATCTTAAAATACATATATTTGCCTTTATAACCTTATTGAACGAGTCTCTAATGAAATTATTTATTAACGGCTTCATACTTAAATCTTGATGCTAACTTAACCTCAAAATTTTTAACAGTTTAATCCAACTGGAGCCCTTAGTTGGAGATACGTGATAGAAATATGCCAATCCCAAATCTCCTAAAAAGCAGTTTAATCATTAGTTAAATGATTTAACCATAATTATTTAACCATTTACATGATTTTATAATAATTATTGTTCTTATGCTATATGTTACAGTATTGCTTTCCATCAGTGGATGTTCATGCAGTCCAGAGCAGCACCAAGTAGTTTGATAGAAGAGCAAAAGATTTATTTATTAGATATGTAAGTAAGAAAAAGTTAAATTTGATATAAACCATACTTTCCAATATTAATCGTCAATACTGAAAATCCAAAGTATACGTGTAACATCAACTACAGATTTTCAATATACGTAGATAGTGAATATCACAATACAGAGTCATACTTAACCTACTTTTATGTTTAAAATATATAATTAAACGTAAATAATAATTACTGTTTTTGTATTATGTTGCAGTGTTACGTTGCTTTCCATCAGTGGAAGTTCACGCAGAGCAGCACCAAGCAGTTTAATTTCTATCAAACTCTTCTGAGCGACAGCTTCATTTATTAGACATAAGTAAGAAAAATTTAAACTTGGTATAAACTGCGTTCCAATATTTTAATATCCAGTACTAAAAATCTAAAGTGTATGTATAACATTAACCATAGATTTTCAGTATAGACAGTGAATATCGGAACACGTTATACTTAACCCCGTACTCTTATGTTTTAATATGTAATTATGTATGAAATAAACAGGGTGATTTTTATTTCGTGTGCCAATCATCTCCGATATAATTATCTCAAAAAGTATTGATTTATTGGGAAAATGTTTCAGATAAAAGTTGGAGAGTTCAAGGAGAACCAATAAACAATTTTATAAGATTTTGAGTCCGGGACCAGTGTTAAGCCTAATAGGATCCAAGTCAAATTATTTAAATAGAAACCCCCTTTTTATGGTATCATCTTTTTCTACTAATTAATATGAACAACTTTTGTCTGAAACATTTTTTTATTTGCTTTATACTTTTTGAGATATTCTAGAAAACTTGGTGTTTTTTTCAATATTTATTTTACAATAGATGTTTGTCAATAAATGTTCGTCGGAGTGAAAAGTGGTACAGGACTTTTTGACTTGATTTGGTTTCAAGAATATACTGTTGCAATAGTATTCTAATTTCTTTAAATAACTGTGTACACATGAAAGCTTCAAGAAAATGTATACACAAATATTTAAAGAAATTAGAGTATTATTGCAATAGCATATTCTTGAGACCATATCAAGTCAAAAAGTCTTGTATTATTTTCCCCTCCGACAAGCATTTATCAAGATATAAGCTAAATATTAAAAAAATTACCAAATTTTTCTTGAATATCTCAAAAAATATAAGGCAAATAAAAATGTTTCAGACAAAAGTTGTTTATATTAATTAGTAGAGAAAGATGATGTAATAAAAAAAGGAAGTTATTATTTTAAAAAATTGACTTGGACCCTACTGGGCTCAACATAAGTTCCAGATTCAAAATCTAATAAGATCATCCATTATTCCTCTATAAACCCTCCAACTTTTATCTGAAACATTTTTCCGATAAACCAATACTTTCTGAGATAATTAGTGAAGATAATTGGCATACAAAATAAAACTCACCTTGTATAATTAGATATAAATAATAATTACAGTTTTTGTATTATGTTATAGTGTTACGTCATTCTTTATCAGTGGAAATTCATACAGTGCAGAATAGCATGGAGCAGTTTTGAAGAAGAAAGAGATAGAAAAATAATATCAATATTATTTTCTTAATATTGTATGTAATACTATTATTAAAAATAACAATTTGATAAAATTTAATAATATTCATTAAAATGTTTTAATTTTTAGCAATATTAAATAAATATTATCTAATATTACACAAATAATATTATTGCATTTACAATATCAATATTATTTTAAAATTGTATGTAACAATACTATTAAAAATAATTCAATAAACTTTAATAAAAATTATTAAAATGGTTTTTTAATTCCTAGCAATATTATACAAATATCACGCAAATATTATAGTAATTTTACCGTAATATTACTGATATATTGCAGTAATATTACTGCAATATTACTGAAATAAATATCAGTAATATTATTGATATTCATTTTCGCGGACATTTTAATATTACTGAGATATCTCAGTAATATTACTGCAATATTTCTTATACATTTTATTGTAATATTGCAATCAAAAAATAATATTGCTGCAATATTTCTGCAATATTATGTGCTGTGTGGGATATGTATATATGCTTATATATAGCCATATATAATTATGCCATATATATATGGCCATATAATATTGTTTAAGATTATATTTTCCATTTCTTATATGATCATATATAATCATATATTTACTAATATAAACTAATATAAACTAATATGAATAAATAAGAGATTTTTTCCCGGGTTATGCGGTTTTAGACATGTGTATGGTGCTGGGTAAGGTTTTTTTTATAATGACTCGCTTTTTATTTTACAGATAAGTTAGAATAAAAAAGTTTTTTTTCTTTTTGTAATCACGCGGCGCGACGTTGGCCCAATAAGCCTATTTTGTAATGAGCCGGCACTGGTTTCAGATATTTACCCGACATTAAGAAAAAATTATATAATATTTGTATATCCGATTTGAAATTTTATTACTCTTTTTAAACTGAATTTGTTTCTTAAGAATTTTTGAAAAATTATATATTTGCGCTGATTATGATACATGTAGACTGTTCGGGATTCCCGCAATCTATTGTTGTAAAAACGTATATCTAACCGTTACATATACCGCGATCTACGCTTCCTTTGCTTCTCGCGCAAAATTAGCTATAAGTTCGGAAACGCCGGAAGAAGCCGATCCAAGCCGAAAAGCGAGCGCGCGTCAGCACTCCCACGCGGCCCGCTCGAGAGCCGGCCTCCCTTCCAACGAACCTGCCGCGCCGAGGTATATAAGCCGGCGCTCCGACAGGAGCCGGCACTTCGTCTTCTCTACAGCTTTCCGCTGCCTTCGACGAAGCCGAACCCATCCAATATCCCAGGGAACACGCAAAACGAGGTCCGGTGTTCCGAGCCTCTACTGAGAGTTCTCAGAGTGTTCCCGAACTCCATCCAACTTACTCCCGACGGCCATGGTTCAGCGAGGTCGAGCGTACTCAGCCTCGTAACGAGGGTTCTCGTAGCCATCGCCCCGGGCGTCCGCACATACCGATCGCGTTTCCGCCCGCGTGCAAATGCAACATAACGGACCGCACCGAGGAGTATAGAGTAGGAGAAAACCGCGTTTCGGTAAAATCGCACTTTATGTAAAACCGCGCTTCAAAGACTACAAGTCACAGCGCGCCGAGCGCACTCGCACTAATTTGTCTGTACATCTCGCGTTTCGTCAGTTTTGTTATTATATCAAATAAAGTTTGTATATATGATAAGTCAATTGCTGTCTTTGGGCCTTCCACTCAACTTCCTAACAAGCGATCGAGTCCGCATTCAGCTGAAACCCCGGTCGTCTCATAGTTGAAGGGCTGAACGAAGCCATTCGTGATATCTCGCGTTCTCGCGGAACGGATTCGGCAGCTCGTTCGGTGCGTTTATTGCGCGCCCGAACATAAATTGGTTAGAGATTGGTTACGAGACTATATATAACACTTACATCAAATTAAGAAGTAGTCTACCACGTAAGACGGTTGACTCACGATCCAGAGGTCCCGAAGTCTTGAGTTCAAATCCCATCAAGGTAAGTGTTTTTCAACTACAAGAAAATATTTATAATCATAGATTGCATCTTAAGAAACAAAAGTTAAAAAGTAGTAATAAAATTTCAAATTAAATATAATTTTTTTTTATGTCGGGTGAATTTCCTCATTAGAGAGTGTTTTAATTCTAGTATTTCCTTGTAGTTTACTGTACTCAAATAGATATAGAAATGTGTAGAATATCAGTATTAGTTGTAGTTTGGCGTAGTTTTATCGAAAAATTTATAGATCAAGATGCACTAAAAAAATACAAAAAACAAAAGTGTTCCAATTCTAGCATTTTCATGTAGGATTTTGTAGTACTTCTTAAATTCATGTAGAATTTAATAGATTTTGGCAATTATATTTTATAGTTTTTTGTAGTACACTTTTATTTTTTTTTTTTAATTTTGTAGAAATATTTCCGCCAGGGATATGCAGCAATTATTTATTATATAATATTTGTGTAATTTTTCTTAGCAACATTAGAAATGAAGGAAGACTATCGGCACAAGTATCTAAGCACCCGCCGACTTTCCCGGAAGAAAGGATGGGCAAGAAGGTATGTTATACACAATTATATATCTGTTTGAGGCGGAAAAATAATAGTATTAAAAGAGGCATTTAAGAATAAAGACTTTGACTGTGTGATTTTTCGACGAGAAAAAAGTCCATTCAGTACTGTATAATAGTGCATCCCGATAGAGTGGATAACGCAGAAGCGGAATGAGCAGATCACTAATCACGGGAGCGTTTCGACAGAATTTTTGAAAGGGGCGATCAGAACAATCCTGTGATTAATGATTCGCTGATTCCGCGTGATCCGCTCCATCGGAATGCATCCAAAGATAACAATAATAACTGAATAAAAAAAATTTTTTAAAAGTTTATTTAATTTATTATTGTTGTTGTTTTACATTATTAAAAATAGAAAAGGATTGAAATGGTTGAAAACATTTTTGAAAACGTTTATTTCTTATCGGAAAATGTCAACTTTTAAATTACTTTAGCTTTGCGAAAAATAATGTAGAGTAAGTAAAAAAAAAAAGTATTTTAGAGGCCACAGTCTTTATTTCAAAGTGCCCTTTGTACATTTTTGATATATAACTTATAAAAAGTCGGACAGCAAAGCCGTAACAGTGTTTGGATTAAATTAATTTAGTATTAACAAACGTTTCGGTCAGTCATGTTCTGTGTTATATGTTAAAATATGAAAACTGATAACCAATACAAAACTTGTTATAAACTTAAGACTTTTACGTCGTTTCTTCCGTATGGAAAAGTAAAATAATTAAATAAATTGATGTGAAGATGTAAAATTCTACAATAGCCGTAAGACGCAAGCAATAAGACATAGGCAGTAAGAATTATTTAACCACAGTCGCTTATTCTTGAACTGAAAAATCTCATTTGTCAATCAAGAGACACGGTAGTGTCTCGCGCCAAGTACACGCGGAGCGAGACCGACCGTGACTCTTTTACGCGACGCGACGATTTGCGAATACTCGAGATGTTGAGATCTCATATAATGAGTGAACGAATCAAGTTTTAAGTAGGCTTGATCGATAGCTTGGGTCGATTTAGGGGGGGTTTCTCTTATTATATTCCGCTACGTGCCCTACGAGCGGAGATATTGCAACGCAAAGTCGAAATGTGAAAATTTTTTATTAAGATACTCCTCCTTCCTAACGCCGACGTCTCTCATGCCATGCCATCATTTCATTGGCTGCAGTCGCGTCCTTTTCAGTTTTTCGACACCAGGGCGC